TGCAGTCTGGTCGGGTTCGGAACAGAAGTGTCACGAGCTGGTAGAAGCCCTACTAGAACCTGACAAGGGAAGTCCAGTCCCAATGTCCAAAATTGCAGCAGCGTTCCAAGAAAGCTCGGAGACTTTTGGAACGTGAACATGCAGGTGGCAAGGCTGCACGCGGCTGGTGCCAGTCCGAACCAGGCAACATCAAGTCAACTGTTCTATTTATAGTGGTTACAATAACAGCGCACATCATGTGTTCATTTGGGAGTTTGGGCAATAGTGCGACTTTGGAGAAGACCGGTGCTTGATGAAGAAGATAGCACACTGACCTCCACAGTTAGGGTTAGGTCGGAGGAGGAAGGTGGCGATAGCCGTCAGGTCGAAGCTTGGGAGAAGTGGGCATACTTAGGGGTAGTGATCCAAATAGGGGGAGGGCGAGAGTGTGAGGCGAGCAATACAAGTCCCAAGCGACGTAAGGTTGACCGATAGAAGCTTTGAGAGAGAGAGAGTCAGGTAGAAGGGGGCTGTTGCTGAACGCAGTCAAGCTGCCGGCGACCTGAACTCCATTGTTTGATAGTTATTTAAATGAGGGAAGTTTCCTGTTGCATTGATTCAGTTCCCAACTTAGGCATTCATGTGAACTCTCCTGTGAATGTTCTGCTCATCATGTTGGTTTTTGTGTTTGATGTCCGGGAGGTCATTGCGAAAACATCGAGAGGAATGCCAATTATTGAGTTGTGAACAGAGTTCCATGATTAAGGCACCCTGGATAATGAACCAACTCGCTAACACAGTCACTTACTTAGTAGCTTGGTTGGGCATCAGGAGGCCCAAACTCAGTCTCTAAAGCCCCCACCAATACATTCACCGGCTGGACAAACTAACACAGTCACCACCCTTGCGCACGTGAAGTCAGTAGCCCAGACAGTAATGTCCCTCACTGGCTGGGTACCTACCCTTCTAAATCTCAGTAAACCACATCAAAGGCAAAAACATTCTTTGAAAAATGCAGATTTGTCAAAGTCGAAACTATGTGGACCGCCTTATGACATAATCACAACGTCACCCTCCCCCAACCTCATGAACGTAAATGTACGGGCTGCACACCCGTGCCCTGATGGTAAGGCAATAGAAGTGGCCTGGTCGATCCCGATAATCGATGAAGAGTCCAGGGGAGTTTCCCGACATGTTCCCACCGGCAGCCACAGCGATTGTAGAAATGCAATGGCATGAGTGAGGAAAGAGCAAAGGCAATGTCGAAAACCCCCCACCTGCTGAACTAACAACGGAAATGCTTTTCAGCCACGTATAGTAAATGTTATGCTTAAAGGGCACTTGGGTAGCAGGCCTGATCAGGCGCCCTTCAGTGGGTTGAACAGATACCCGTAGGCAGAGGTCATCACAATGTTTAAGGCTGATCAATAAACAAGCTCAAACAAGCTCAATGTAGTGGGATGCTGGACCCGTTTTCCAGCAGGTGAAGCTCCCCACCAATAGATGGAGCCTCAGTGGGAATGCTAGAGGGGTCTGCTGTTATCAGCTCCCCTAGCATCAACCCGGCTGTGTTCTTGGAGGCCAAGTGTGGAGGAGGTTGACTCAGCAGAGCTTCATGGAGCGTCACCAAGCAATAGTGAAGTGCCTCTTCATCGCTCGCCTTGTGTTAGCCTGCTTGTCGTTTTGTTATCGGATTGGCTGGTCTTTCCTTGTGCGAGGATCTGGGTCCTCGGCAGGCCTGAGGGGGCCCTGTTGCAAGAGTGCCCACCCTAAGTGAAGGCGGGCCTAACATATCACAAGAGGCCCTCGGCTGTCAAATTCATATTTGGTGTCCAGGCAGTTGCGACGCGTCAGTTGGTTGAGAGTTAGGCTGAGCAACAAAGGCATTTCCACGGCCTTCTGGGCTTTTCCAAAGAATGCAGCCCCTGGACGAGAATCGCAGCATCATACACTGATAGTTGGGAGGCCCAACCGTAAGAGGCCCAGTAGCTGCACACAAGCTCAGCATCCTGGGGCCTACCGGAAGCTTTTGGGCCCAGGCCCAGCCCAGCCAGGCTGCGCGAGCAGGCCAGCTCTTTCCATATAGGAAAGAGCTCTCCCCGGGCAGCCTGATTCGGGCACTTGCTGGCTGGCGGCAGTGCTGCTGGAGCGATAGCTCGTGTGCTGGCTCTAGCACTGGAGCAAGAGGCTGCGCACTTGTGGTCGTGTGGTGAAGCAGGGCGCTGCTGAGGGCAGCGCCATAGCCCAGCCTGCATAGCTGGCTGTGGGCTTGGACATACAGTGAGGCACAGGGGTGGTCTTCAGATGTACAGAGGGAAGACGTAAGGGAGAGACAAGGGAGAGAGAGAAGGATGATGATGATGATGATGTGAGGGCACATACCTGGTATTGGCGATGGTCTGCATGGGCGACATCTTCAAGTACTTCGGGAGCTGCTGACGTCAACAGTTGCATTGTCAATTAGTAGGCTAATAGTACCTGTGTAGGGAGTAGGCTGGGCGCCTAGCGCCAGGTAGGGAGATAGAGACTGGAGACATATGTTGGTGGTGGCGAGAGCAAGCTCTCATTGACATTGACTTTCAGTGCTACGATTCTCCATTGGTATTATATTGGTGCAATGCTGCTTCCTGAACACTGTGTTACGATTTGGCTTTCAATGTGATTGTGCAATCTGAATATCGCCATCTCGCTTCTGTTCATTTTCCTTGCACTTGAAACAAACTGCTATTTCATCAAGGTTCTTGTTGCCTTTAGATCTAGGGGTAGGCAAGAGCATCATGAGCACCTCGTGGTTACCTTGTGGAGTAAAGGCTTGTGCCCGGTTCTCAGGGAGTGGAGAAGGTTGCTGGCCTACCTTGAGGCGTGAGATCGTCGGCTTCGAATAGGCCACTTGATACTGTGCTCTGTACTGTTTGTTTCTCTTTCTATCTTCGCCATACTTTATCCTCCAAAATGTGTCATATTGAGTCATTGATCATGGACACAAGTCAGATGTCCAGGTACGTTAGTCCTCTGCTTACCTGTCTTGAGTGCAGAATCAACCATGAGTGCTTGATTGTTGATTTGTGTAGCATTATTGGCATATTCAGGGTGAACAGTGGCAGAACCCTGGCCTCATCATTTTGCTTTTGCTGCCACTGGGAGACTGGGTACAAGGGTTTTAGGGGTTTTTACTAAATTATAAGTACTTATTAGGTTCTCCAACTTCTGCTTTTTCTTTTTTAATATTTATTTATTATAAAGCCATGGTTGTTGTACAGGCCAGGTTCGAGACACACGTTGGTTGCTGCATCAGCCAGCCATGTCCTGACAATTGTTTAATTTGTGAGACCACCTCCCAACCCATCCTCTCATTAATTATCTCAGCGCACCCCTATTCCTTCTATCCTACATCAGTGTAATCACCTCGGATGGCCACCTCATTATCTCAGAGCATGACCTGGACTGAATAGCAGTTACAGGCACCAGGGCTAGGCATGTTCAATAGGACAAGCCTGGTGTGGCATACTGCGCAGCCACACGGGCCTGCAGGGCCCGACCAGCGTTCTCAGCCTAAAAGCCTGAAAACAAGGGCCTACAGGCCCTGTGTTGTTTCAGCCCGAAAGCCTGAAAACAAGGGCCTACAGGCCCTGTGTTGTTTCAGCCTAAAAGCCTAAAACAAGGGCCTACAGGCCCTGTGTCGTTTCAGCCTAAACAGGGCCCTCCAGGCCCTTTCAGCCTGAAATGGAGGGCCATTTTCAGGCCCTCATAAGATGGACCTGCCCTGAAACTTAGGCACCAGACCAGGGTTTTAGCACAGGCCATTTTGGGCCTGTTTTCAAGACAACCTTTGTTTGAACTTCAACACCAGGGTCTGGCACGTTCTGGCATTGGCAAGAGCAGCCTCCTGGACGGGCCAGCACTATATAAGACTGGCCCGCCCTGCAGGCTGCAGGCAGGCCCGAGGCAGTTCATAGGAACTACCCAGGCACTTCACGTGCAGGAGGCAGGAGGCAGTCTTCAGGATTTGGCAGCAGCACTCTGGAGGAGCGCTGCAGTAGTAGTAGTAGCGTTAGCAGTAGTCTTCAGCACTGGGCGCTATTAGGAACTAGAGTAGCATTGGAGAGAGAGAGAGATGGTCGGCGGAGGCCAGGGAGACTTACCTGTGGCGCCATAGCTCCAGCTTCGTCTTAGACGTACCTTCCACAAGGTGCCACCTTCACAGGTTAGTACCGGACTGCGAGAGAGAGAGAGA